TTCTCAAACTGAAAGAACTGAAGAAAAAAATTCAATCCTTGGTTTGCAATATTGAAGGATTCTATGGGCAAAATATTGAATAATACAGAAAGCATCAAAAGAAGATGGAAGGATTACACAGAATCACTGTACCAACAAGAAATGGCCCATGTTCATCCATTTCAGGAGATAGAATATAATCAAGAATTGAAGGAAGAAGTCCAAGTTACTCTGAAGGCATGGGTGAAAAACAGGGCTCCAGGAATTAACAGAGCACCAATTAAGATTCAAACAAATGGATGCAATGCTGGAAGTGCTCATTCACCCATGCTAAGAAATTTGGAAGACAGCTACCTAGATAACTAAACGGAAGAGAGCCATATTTAGGCTCACTCCAAATAAAGGCAATCTAACCAAATGTAGAGATTGTCAAACAATATCACATATCACAGGCAAGTGCAATTTTTCTAAAGAAAATTCAAAATCTGTTGCAGCAGCATGTTGACAGGGAACTGCCAGTAACTCAAGCTAGATTCAGAAAAGGATGTGAAACAAGGGAAATCAGTTCTGCAATTAGTTGAAAGCAGAAAATACCAGGAAGATGTTTACTTGCATTTTTATAAACTATGCAAAGGACTCAACTTGTGGATCATAACAAATTATGGATAACACTATGATGAACAGAAATTCCAGAACACTTGTATTTTCACACAAATAATGCATGCCATACTCTCAGCCCCTTCACATGTTAGTCTCCTAGGTGCATTATATGTGAAAAAATACAGTAGTTGCACTTGTGTTAGACATGTGCATAGATCAAAATGCAGTTGTTCAAAAAGGTCAAGGGGATACTGAATGGTTTAAGTCATAGATAGCATATGTTAAGATTATATCCTTTTACTATACTCATTCAATCTGTATGCAGAGCATATGATCCAAGAAGATGGATTTTATGAAGAAAAAGGTGGCATCAGATTGGAGGAAGACTCATTATACTCTTGCTTGCTGAAAGTGAAGAAGACTTAAACTACTTAACTGATGAAAATCAAAGACTACAACATTCCATATGAATTATACCTCAAAGAAAACAAAAATTCTTACAACTGGACCAATAAACAACATCATGATCAAAAGGAAAAATACTGAAGTTGTCAAAGATTTCATTTTATTTGGATCCACACAATCAATGCCCATGGAAGCAGTAACCAAGAAATCAAATGACAAATTTCATGAAAGAGACCACAATAAAGTGTTAAAAAGGAAATATGTCACTTTGAAGACTAAGGTGTGCCTGACTCAAGCCATGGTATTTTCAAATGCCTCATACGCATATAAAAGGTGGACAGTGAATAAGGATGACTAAAATGATACATTTGCAGAAGGGTGTTGGCAAAGATACTATGGACTGTCTTGAAAGAAGTACAACCATAATGTCCCTTAAAAGTGAGGATGATAAGACTTCATCTCATATACTTTAGACATGTTATGAGAAAGGACCAGTCCTTGTAGAAGGACATCATGCTTGCCAAACTAGAGGGTCAGCGAAAAAGAGGAAAACCCTCAGTGAGATGGCATTGTTACAGTAACTGTGCCAATGGGCTCAGACATAGCAATCATTGTGAAGGTGGTGCAGAACTAGGCAGTGCTTCAGTCTGTTATCCATGAGGTCAATATGAGTCAGAACCAACTAAATGGCTCTTATCAACAACCGCAACAAAGTGAGCAGAGAGTAGGGCCTTGAGTACCAACAAGAAAGAAGAGTTGAAGGTGGATCACATTCTTTCGACCAGGAATTCCTGTGCAGAGAACTCAGGGAAGACCAATGCTAAGACACATGTAGATCTCCAAGGAACTCCAGGCCCACAGGTATTGAAAGGAGACAAAGACCTTTCCCCAGAGCTGACAGAGAGCTTTCCCCTAGAATTGGAGCCCTGAGTTCAGACTTCTAGACCCCTGAACTGTGAGAGAATAAATTTCTCTTAAAGTCATCCACTTGTGAGAACTAAGACATTCACTCAATAAAGATTTCTCTTCAGAGCCACAGGCATTCTCTGTCCCTGTGCCATGGATTTGTCTATATCCACAGCTACAAAGGAAATGGAAATGACATAACTTTTGAACCTGCGGGTGAGCACATCTGGGGTGATTCTGAGAGAAGAGTAGAAGACTGGTGTCTCAGAGGAGAAAAGCTTCCAAAAGAGTGGCAATAAGGGTAAGGGCTGGGGCAGAGAACATGGGGAGGGGTGATGAAAGGACTCAGCAAAGACTGTGGAAGTAAGGGCAGGGGAAGCTGGTTTCATTTTGAATCTGGGATTTGAACAGCCCTGAAATCAGATTGTCAACGTTTATACAAAGTTCATTATTATATTTATCTTAAGATGCTTTGAAGGATGTTGCTATCCATTTAGGGACTTCTTTCTAAAGTCATAGGAACTTCTTTTACAAATTCATACTAAAGTTAAAAACTGGTGAAATCAGAACGAGGTCTGTATTTGTACAATGTCCGTTCCCGACTGTGGTCATTTTTCTATGGTGATGTAAGAGAATATCATTGGAGAAAGATGGGTAAAGGGAGCATGGGAACTCTCTGTACTATTCGTGCAGCTCTTGGGAGTCATAAACTATTCCAAAATAAAAGTTATAAATTAAGAAAAAGAAAGTGATGAAAGACCATTGCTTTGCCTAAAAACATCTAGTATGATGATAACAATTCTCCCATTTTACTTTGGCTACCAACAAGCTCAGAGTCAAATTAAAAATTCATTCTAGAAATATTCAGGCTCTTATGACCTGTATATTGTTCTTTCTCCAAATGTTGACTTTCTATATTTACTCCTATTTTCTGGCTCCTGACTTTCCATGTGTTATTTTTATTTTACCATGATTTTATTCTGTGAATTTTTGTGAGGGGTTTTAAATCCTTTCTGGAAAGAAACAGTATGTAAATAAAATTACTGGTAGAGCTAATTTATGAAGTCTGAGTGTTTGTTTTTTAATCATGTAGGATTTCTGTTTTCCTGTTAACTGAAAGCATTTTTTCAGTATCAATTCTGCCCCTTCCTAGATAGGATTTTTTCCTGAGACTATGCAGGATTCAAAGAAGACATGGAACATGGAGTGAGGGATATCATTGCTGATATCTTGACTAAAAGCAGAGAATACCAAAAAGATGTTTACTTGTATTTTATTGACTATGCAATAAAAGGAAAGGTGTGTGCTGGGGTTGTATTCTTTCACCATACTTATTTATTTACTCTGCATTGAAGGTTCCAGTCTTGGTTAGAATGATAGCAGGCAGATGAACACTCAGCTAATGAGCTGTGCAGGTTTTTCACCGTTTCAGGGAGTGTTCCCTCAGGGAGGGCTAGCTGGGGACCACTCGAGTGAGCCCTTGCTGATAGTCTGAGTCTCTGCCAGCAGGTTCACAGTCAGAGATGACTTCATTAAGTGTTGCAAGTTTAGGGTCCCTGAGACAACTCCTAGTCATATGCAAATACTTCTCTGAGAAGAGACACAATTTTAGCAGCTGCAACCCAGAAAGAAACCCTTTGGAAATGCATTACAGAGAAGTTCCTTTTGTGAACAAGTCTGAGTCACACACTCCTTATATCGGCTTGTTTTTGTAATTCATTCAACTGTGAACCTACTTGGAACTCTCAACAGACCCAAAGTACATCAAATGACAAGCATCCTAATCAACCAGAGAGGAGGAAGAATCACTGACAGGCTCCTGGCAGAGGTAGGAGGCAATGCTATGTACCCCTGTGTATCTAGCCACAGGGCAGCCAAGTGCAGTGTGAAAGGCATGAGGCTTTGAAGATACAAAGCCCAGTTCTGTCACTGAAGATATGGCCTCGATGAGTCTCATCTCCTTGCTGTACCTCAGTTTTCTCATCTGTAAAATAGTGGTATTACAGCTCACCAGGGAGTCCTCATGTGGCGCTGTGAGTTAATGCACTGCAATGTCAGTTTGAACCACAAGATCAGCGGTTCAAGCTCACCAACCACTCTTTGGAAACCCTATACAGGGTTGCTATGGGTCAGAACCAACTCAATGGCACTTAACAATAGTTCACTTCACAGACTTATAATAGTATGAACATTTAGTAATGTGTGGAAAGGTCACAGTGTCTGGCACATGGTTGGCAATCACAAGTCTCCAGTCCTGTCCCCTCTACAATTACAACAATAACAATAACAATAGCTAAGATCCATTATGTGCCAGATGCTGCTCTCGATTATAGGAATGTTGTTGTTGTTGAGCACCGTCAAGTCAGTTCTGAATCATAGTAACCCTGTATAGGGTTTCTGAGGAGCATCTGGTGAGTTTGAACTGCTGACCTGTGGTTCATAGGCCAGTGCTGATCCTACAGCGCCACACCAGAAGGCCTTGTTATCGGAATACAAAAAGAAATAAAATAGGGCCCCTGCTCTTGAATGGATGTTCATAGAGCATGTTCTATGCATACCACCCTATTTAAGATTCGTAACAGCCCTATGAGGTTAGTGGTGGTATTCATTCTCATTTTACAGATGAGAAATGGTAGCAGCACCTCTCAACTGCACTAAGTCAGCCATGGATTAAAGACTATAAAGGCATTCTCAGGGGTCTGGGGGTGTTGGGAGATAATGGACCACACTAGTGAGGAATGAAGGAGCTTTGGTAGCGTAGTGGTTATGAATAGGGCTGTGAACCGGAAGGTCAGCAGTTAGAAACTACCAGCTGTTCCGGCGATCTTGCAGGAGAAAGATGAGGCGTTCTGCTCCCGTAAAGATTTACAGCCTCGGAAACCCTATACAGGGTCGCTATGAGTCGGAACCGACTCCACGGCACACAGCAGCAGCAGCAGTGAGGAATGTGTTCTCTTATATGGAACTTCTGAAATAACACAGGAAAGCTAGCTGATGTGTTGGATGAGAGTGGTTGTTAGGGCCTCAGCCAAGGTCTGGGCAGGTCAATGAGAGTATGCTGGTGGCTTCTTGCAGTCTTTCTCATGGCTCCATCATTTTGTTTCCCACAGGTGTCTACAGCAGCACCCTGGGGATAGCCTGCCCACAGCCAGTGTCATCCTCTGCTTTCATGAGGAGGCCTGGTCCCCCCTACTGAGAACTGTGCACAGCATCCTTGACACAGCACCCAGGACCTTCCTGAAGGAGATCATCCTAGTGGACAACCTCAGTCAACACGGTAGCAGCAGACTTCTTCTAAGCTCCCTTTGGCCTCCTAGCAGCAAGAGAGTCTTGATAGATGAGTGTTTCTAGCTACCCTGAACAAAATCAAGATTCTGTTAGTAAGGTAGAAGTGGAGAATGAATGTTGAGGAAGACAACTTCCTGTTGTTGTTAAGTGCTGTTGAGTCGGTTCCGACTCATAGTAACCCTGAACAAGGTTTCCAAGGAGCAGATGGTGGGTTTGAACCACCAACCCTTGGTATTAATCAGTGCTTATCCTATAGAGCCACACCAGGACTCCAAGCAGTGTTCGGTAGGTATAGTGGAGTCTCAGAGGGACTGGTCCTCAGATGTGTAAATTCATGAAAGCGAACAGATCCCTCTCTAGGGAATGAACTGGTATTAACAAGGGTACCCCCAAGAAGTTCTGTCAGGGACAGTGTTCTGTGTAACTCCTGGGCACATCCAGGAGAGGTAGCTCTAGTTCCTCAAGACAAGTCTCCAGAAAAGAGTACAGGTTGCAGTTAACAGCACATAGAAGAGTACAAACCAAACCACCCAGAGCGTGTGACTAGAACAACAGTATCTGCTGCAGCTCCCCACTAGATTCAGAGAATGGTAGCAAGGTCCTGAAAGTCCTCTTCTAGTTTTATGACACCATCTTTCCTGATTTTTACTGGTGAGAATCATGCCAAACTCTGGAAACATCTTCCCTTTTAGCAGCAATGGAATAATGTACAAGGGTAACTAAAAAATGATCACTACCCTGTACAGGGTCGCTATGGGTCGGAACCGACTCGACGGCACTTAACAACAACAACAACATAAAATAATAGAAACCATTATTAAACAAAACTATCAAAAGGTGAAGCTATTGTTTCTCGACATATGCTCCATCTAGGACTATACACTTCTGAAGGCTGTGTTTCCATCTTTCTAACCTTTTCCCCAAAGAATTCTGCATATTTTCCAATTTACATCACATCAAAACAGCACTCTGGGCATCTTTCAGGAACTCAAATGGTGTTCCTTTCAAATGTTCTTTGAGTTGTGGGAACGCAAAGAAGTCTGAAGAGGTAAGATCGGGATTGTAGGGTGGATGGGGTAAAATGTCACAGTAAACTTTTCATAGGACAGTCTTTGCCACCCTCAAAGAATGAGCAGGTATATTGTCATGATGAAAAAAATTTTCTCAGCAGAACTTTCCTAGTCTTTTTCTCACAGTGCAGTTTTCCCTTTTCTTAAACCTTCTTCCTACTAAGCTCCCTGTGATAATCCTCTGTCCTGCAATAAAATCTATCAAGATTGCCCTTTTTGAATAATAATTAAAAAAAAAAAAACAAAAAACACCTGTTCCATAACCTCTGAGCTGACCTCTTAGAAGTCACTGTTTTGATTAGACCTTTGTTTTGAAGTCACCTCGCTGTTGTTGTTAAGTGCCATTGAGTCAGTTCTGACTCATAGCAACCCCGCATAGGGTTTCCAAGGAGCGGCTGGTGAGTTTGAACCTCCAACCTTGTGGTTCAAACCAACCTTGTGGTCCAATACATTAGCCCACAACGCTACACCAGGACTCTGAAGTCGCCCTAGTGGGACTAAAACAAGTATATCACTGAGAGAACTTGTCTGCAACCACCCATTTATCACAGAGACATGTTTAAACATGTTTTGTTTGGGATAAACCCATGCATGTATGAACTGAAAACCTAGTAGCAATACTTTTTGACTTACCCTCGTTTTTGATTTTTGGGGTCCTTTGAACCTCACTAGAGCTTCAAAGAGATGATCGCTGACAATCATCTTAGTGATGGTCATCATAATCTCATTTGGCCATGACATCTGTGACCCAACTGACCACAACCCTGTTGATTGCAGGACAGCTCAAGTCGGCTCTCAGCGAATATGTGGCCAGGTTGGAGGGTGTGAAGTTGCTCAGGAGCAATAAGAGGCTGAGTACCATCCAGGGCCGGATGCTGGGGGCCACCAGGGCCACAGGCGACGTGCTGGTCTTCATGGACTCCCACTGCGAGTGCCAGCCAGGCTGGTTGGAACCTCTCCTCAGCAGAATAGCTGCTGACAGGTAACTCAGCCCTTGGGATCTGCAGAGAAGCGGTGGGACTGGGAAAATTAGATCTCCAGTCTCAGCCACTCACAGAATATCTTCCCCACTTTTATGGGCTGAATTGTGCCCACCCAAAATATGTGTTAGACTCTAACTCCAATAACTTGGGGAGGTAATCCCATTTGGGGATCGTGTTTTGTATTGTTAATGAGGCCATCTTAGAGTAGGGTGTTTCCTAAACATGTTTGTGTTTGAGATATAAAAAGATCAGGCAGGACACAGAAGCAAGCAAGCACAAATGAGGAGGGAAAGAGAGATACCTCATGGAGAAACCAAGGAAGCAACATCAGGGCAGAAGGGAGAAACAGAGACAAGGGTCTTCCCCCAAAGCTAACAAAAAAAGAGCCTTTCCCCTCCTGAACTATGGGAGAATAAATATCTATTCATTACGCCACCTACATGTATTTCTACTACAACAGTATTAGGAAAATAAGACACCCATCTGAAAAAGTGCCTGAGCTTCCGTGATTCTACAGTGAGCTGTTCCTGTGAATTTTTCAAATGTTTTGGGCCTTTTATGATGCATAAGCAGTAAGAGTCAGAAGCGAAGTTAGAAGGTGTCCAGTCCATCTAGCTCATATAGGCCTGGAAAGCAGTTTCTATTATGTTGTATATATCTCTTCCTTTCCATAATTATCATTACCGTTGATAAAAGTTCAGCAATTCTAATCAGCATAGTAGTTTGTTATGTGCAATTGGGTTAGCTCACACTCATAGTGACTCTGTATGATAGAGTGAAACTGTCCCATGGAGTTATCTAGAATGTAATTTTTATGGGAGCAGATCAACAGGTCTTTTCTCCTGTGGAACCACCGATGGGTTCCAACTGCAGACTTTTTCTTCAGTTAGCAGCCAAACGCTTAACCATTGCAACAGCAGGGTTCCTCTGATTGTAGTATGTTGTTGGTAAGTGCCGTTGAAGCAGTTATGATTCATAGCAGCCCTGTATAGGGTTTCCAAGGAGCGGCTCGTGCCGTCTAAGGAGTTGAATGTTAGAAGTCAGTCTGAGGACTCCTTTGTGCGTATATGTGACTTGGAGTGTCTGTGTATGTGCTGAAAATCAGGGAGAATCAAGATGCTTCCCAGCCCCTCAGAGGCAGTAGCTTCTCCAGGTATGATACCCCAAAGAAACTGCAGCCTCCACTCTATTCCGTACTCTCCATCATGACAAAAATCCTTGAATTTGTCTCTGAAAGTACTCTCCTCAGTCCTTAGCAGAGGAGCAATGGAAAGAGAATTCTGAGCCTTCTACTTCTCAGTAGAACACATTTTCCACAAACACTGAGAATCTGAATAAACTTTCAATATGGCTTATACATTGAGAACACAGAGGAAAATCTGTTGGTGTAGGTGCCGTTCAGTCAGTTCTGATACAGAACAACCCTATACACCACAGCATGAAGCACTGCCTGGACCTGCCCCACCCTCACAATTGTTATGTTTGAGGCCTCTCTAGCTGCCATGATGTGAATCCTTCTCATTGACTCTCTTTTTCACTGACTCTCCATTGTACCAAACATGATGTCCTTTTCCATGGACTGATCCCTCTTGAAAACATGTGTCTAAAGTACAAGGAAGACTTTGGAAGTCTCACCATCCTCACCTCTAAGGAGGATTCTGGTTATACTTCTTCTGGTTGTTCTGGCAGTCCATGGTACTTTTCAACATTCATTGCCACAATCATAATTCAAATGCTTTGATTCCTGTATGGTCTTCTTATTCATTATCGAACTTCCACATGCAAATGAGAAAATTGAAAATACCATGACTTGGTTACGTACACCTTAGTTCTCAAAGTGACATCTTAGCTAATTAATACTTTAAAGAGGTCTTTTGCAGCAGATTTGTCTAATGCAATACGTCATTTGATTTCTTGATTTTGCTTTTTCCATGAGTATTGATTATGTAACCAAGCAAAATTAAGCCTTTCACAACTCAATCTTTTCTCCATTTATCATTATATTATTTATTGGTCCTGTTTTGAGAATTCTGTTTTCTTTACATTGAGGTGTAATCCATACTGAAGGTTCTAGTCTTTGATCTTTAGCAGTAAGTACTTCAAGTTCTCTTCACTTATAGCAAGTAAGGTTGTATCATCTGCATATCACAGGTTGTTAATGCCACGTTCTTCTTCATAAAATCCAGCTTCTTGGATTATTTGCTCAGCATACAGATTGAATAAATATGGTAAAATTATAAAACCTTGGTGCTCATCTTTCCTAATTTTAAGCCATTCAGTGTTCGCTAATTCTGTTCTAACAACTGCCTCTTGGTCTATGTACAGGATCATTATGAGAACAATGAAATCTTCCGAAATACCCATTCTTTACAATGTTATCATGGTTTGTTGTGATCTATGATTTTGCATATTCAATATGATTTTGCATATTCAATAAAGCGCAAATAAATTTCTTTTTGGTATTCTCTGCTTTTAGTCAAAATCCATGTGAAGTCAGCAGTGATATGTATTGTTCCACATCCTCTTCTGAATCTCACTGAATTTCTGGCAGTTCCATGTCAGTGTACTGTTGCAGCTGTTTTTTAAGTTTTATTTACATGTGGTTTTAATGATATTGTTTGATGATTTCCACATTCTGTTGGGTCATCTTCCTTTGGAATAGGCAAAGACATGGATTTCTTTCAATGGACTGGCCAGGTAGCTGTCTTACAAATTTCTTGGCATAGACAAGTGAGTGCCTCCAGGGATACATCAGTATTTTGAAACATTTTTATTTGCATTCTATCAGTTCCAGGAGCCTTGTTTTTCTCCATGCCTTCAGTACATGTTGGACTTCTTTTAATACTATTGGTTCTTGATCATATGTTATCTCTTGAAACGGTTGACTTCTACCATTTCTTTTTAATGTGGTGACTATGTGTATTCCTTCCATATTCTTTGGATGTTTCCTGCATCCTTCAATATTTTGCCCATAGAATCCTTAAATATTTCAAGTCAAGGCTTGAATTTCTTCTTCAGTTCCCGCAGCTTAAGAAATGCTGAGCACGTTCTTCCTTTTTGGTTTTGTAACTCCAGGTCTTTGCACATTTCATTATAATATTTGACTTTGTCTTCTCAAGCTCCCCTTTGAAATTTTCTATTATCTCCTCATTTCTCTCTTTGCTTTTGCTTCTTTATGCTCAAAAGCAAGTTTCAGAGTCTCTTCTGACATCCGTTTTGGTCTTTTCTTTCTTTCCTGTTTTTTTAATGACCTTTTGTTTTCTTCCTATTTGATGTTCTTGATGTCATCCCACAACTCTTCTGTTCTTTGGTCATTAGCATCTAATGTATCAAATCTCTTCTTGAGATAGTCTCGAAATACAAGTGGAACATATTCAAGGTCATATTTTGGCTCTCATGGACTTATTTTAATTTTCCTGTTTCAATCTGAACCTGCATATGACCAATTGCATATGACCTATTCCATATTCTGCCTGTGGCCTTGTTTTGGGGGCTGATTTGGAACTTTCCCACAATCTATTCCAAAAAATACAGTGAGTTTGATTCTTACGTATTCATCTGGTGAGATCTAGGTGTATAGTCAGTCACCTTTTATGTTGTTGGTCTTGCAAAATTCTATCATGTGTTCTCCTGCATTGTTTCTAATAAGGCTCTATTTTCCAACTACTATACAGGGTGGCTATGGGTCGGAATCGACTCAACGGCACTTAACAACAACAACATGCTTCCTTTTGTTTCCAACTTTCGCATTCCATTCACCAGTAATCATCAATACATCTTGACTGTAGCTTTGATAAATTTCACACAGAAGAATTCAGTAGAATTCTTCAGTTTCATCATGGCTAAGTTTAGTGGTTGGCTTGTAAATTTGAATAATAGTGGTATTATCTGATCTATCTTATTGTTGTTGTGAAGTGCTGTGGAGTCAGTTCCAAATCATAGAAACCCTGTATAGGGTTTCCAATGAATGGCTGGTGGTGTTAAACCACCAACCTATCAGTTATCAGTCCAGTGCTTATCCTACCGCCCCATACCAGGACTCCATTCTTTCTTGCAGGTGTATAGCTATTATTCTAGCACAGACAGCACTAGGAAGAAGGAGAGGCAGACCACTGTAATTCAAGCTAGATCCTGAAACGTTGTTCTTGACAGTGAATGTAAGTAACACTATTCCTCTTCAACTTGTTATGCCTGCCATAGTAAAACATATAACTGTCAGATTCAAAATGACTAGTACTAGTCCATTTCAGTTTACTAAGACCTAGGATATCAATATTTGTGTGTTCCATTTCATTTTGACTTCCAGTTTTCCTGTATTCATACTTCTTACAGTCTACGCTCTGACCATTAATGGATGTTTGCAGCTGTTTTTTCTCATTTTGAGTTGTGCCTCATCAGTAAATGAAGGTCACGAAAGCTTTGCTTCATTCATATCAGTAGGATCAACTCTACTTTGAGGAGGCAGCTCTTCCTCACCCTATTCTGAGTGTCTTCTAAGCGGAGGGGCTCATCTTCCAGCCCTTGATCAGACAGTGTTCTACTGTCATTCATAAGCTTTCAGTGGCTAACCATTCAGAAGTGGTCTGCCTCTCCTTCTTCCTAGTGACCCTGATGGGATTTTAAATGTGGGGGGCATAGCTTGCAGCAGCACAGCAACCACACAAGCCACTGCAGTATGACAAACAGACCGATGAGTGGTGGTAGGAATGTCTAAGTCCAGGAAAAATAAGGAGATAAAAATAAAAACAGTTAATGCACCTGGTGGCTAACTGAAAGGTTGGAGTCTACCCAGAAAAGCCTGGCAATTTACTTTTCAAAATCAGCCACTGAAGCATCACCCTATGGAGCACAATTCTACTGTGAAACACATGAGGTTGCTATGAATCAGAATGGACTTGTCAGGATTCCTTCTGTATCCTTTATTGTGATAATAGATTTGGTCAGAAAATTGAAATGATCGTTAGCATGTAAGTATCTAGACAGTAGTTTAATAGTTAACCTCACATATTTCAGGTAACCAGTCTATGTTGCCAGTTTGACGGCTTTTATCTTTTGAAACCTAAATGCTTGACCTCGTGGAGCTTAGACAGACTTAAAAAAAGACCAACCTTGTATTTGCCTGAGAGTTAAAACTACTCACGAGTATTAGCGAATGATGGGGTAAGCAGACACATCTAGCTCCTTCCAAGTCGAGTGGGGTAGCTTTGCTGTTTTGCTCTAAGTGAATTCCAAGAATACCAGACACATCTGCAAGTACAAAAACACACAGCTAAATAAAGTTTGTTGTGTTTTCTTGTTTTTTTTTTAATTAATTACTGTTTCTGACTCACTAGACTTCAGGTACTCACTAAATTGGACCTGGTTAGGAGCTTCCAAGATTTATGAAAATGAAAATCAAAGGAGAAAGCATCAGTGGCCCTTCTCGTCACATTCACTGACATTTTATTCTTCATCTCTACCCAAAGTGCACTCAAGGAAGCCCTGACCAATCACTTATGTACTGGTTAAAAGATGCCCTGATGAAGCAGTAGATAAGTGCTTGGCTGCTAATCAAGAGGTTGACAGTTCAAAACCACCAGTTGCTTCATGGGAGAAAGATGCTGCCATTTGCTTCTGTGAAGACTGCTGCCTTGGAAACTGATGGGGGTGGTTCTATTTTGTCCTACTGTACTGGGTCATTATGACTTGGAATCATCTCAATGACAATGGGTCAAAAGGTTAGTGGGTACCCAGTTAAAGCAGAGGGAAAAGGAGAGATTAGAAAGGAAATGATGGTGTTAAGATCAGGAATGATGCTGTGTTAAAAGTGAACTTTACATACGACCCTGAGCTCTGAACAAGACAAAGCAAAAAGACATACGACAATTTTTTTAGAGCTCTGATTTTCTGATAAAGTGTATCCTTTTCAAGAAGGATGCAGCACAAAATTCTGGACTATAGTGATTATGTGGGTTCTTGGATGCAATTTCTCTTCTTGTAATGTTATGATTAATGAAGATGGCACAGATTGATATGATTCTTTGGAATTCAGTCACATGGCTTCCCCTGGCTCTTGACTCTAAAATTCCACAAAATGCTTTGTCAATAGCCAAATCTATCCCATCTGCCCAGCTCTTTCCTGAGTAAATGAAGATTTATAGAGGGTTTGGGTGCCCTCTTTTTCTTCTCAGTCTTTCATTACAGTTTTCTTAGGTCAACGTAGGAACGAATAATAATAGTTAAGGACCCAAAGGGAGTAGAAAAGGCAGAAAAAGCCTACCAAGATCCTTGCTCTAAATAGAGATCTAACACTCCTCTTGCCAATGCCATTTACTTAAGGACACACAGATTCATGTTGATGATTGAATCTCTGAGTCCAGCTGTCTCTTAGATGGATGATACAGAGATGGAAATAGATTAGAGTATAAACACACGTGGCTTCCATTTCTCCTTCCAGCAATCTTGCTTCTTCTACTGCAATACCTTCCAGCTGCCCAAGTTCTGCCTGATCCTTTCCATATTGCAGATTTTAGAAGTAAGTGCCTTGAGAGGCCAAAGTGGGTACAGGTGGGGTGAACTGAGAAGGATATTGGCTAAATGGGGAGCAACTCCTGGTATATCTGAGTACTACTTGTTTAAGCAAAAGGTGAAATTTCTGGTCGCATCAATTTCCCATACCCACTCTCTGAGGTAAGTCACATAATCAAGCTCTGCAATTTAAAAAAAATTTCTTTAAGGAAGGATGAAATCACCAACAACATCCATAAATGAGCAAATAAACTTAAGACTCAGGACTTTGGTTTGCTTGTAGATACCACACCTACATACACACACGCATCAACACTAGGAAAATTGTCTGTTGTTATTGATTTGATTCTGACTCATGGGGACCCCATGTGAATCAGAACAGAACTGTGTTCCATTGGGTTTCCAATGACTGTAATCTTATGAAAGTAGATTTCCAGACCTTTCTTCCATGCACTGCTGGGTAGATTTGAGCCACCAACCTTTTGGTTAGCTACAAACCATTTGTGTCACGCAGGGACCTTAGGACACTCAAGAGCTTGTCAAGCCTTATTCCTAGAGGCCATCAGGTTTTATGACACAGGGAGGAATAAGAACCTGACCTCAGAACAGGGGTCTATTTTAGGTGGTCCTTGTACCATAGTTTTCTGAAGCAGGACCCATAGTTTACCCCTGGTTGGATCTCAAAGGGATCAAAGACCTCAAGAAAAGAACCACAGTTCTAAAAAGACCTTTTTGGGAAGTCATTAAACCTTCCATTTCACATAGAAGGAGACTTCCGTCCAGCAATTTTCTCAAGATTGTGCAGCTCATGACTGGCTAAGCTGAGCCTCAGCCCCCATTTTCCTATACCCTGGTTACTACAAAAGAGGCTTTTAAAGAAAAAAAGGGTCAGACTTGATCCTCAATTCTTTATGAAAAATGTAGTTTCCAGACTCTCACTATCCAGTAGAAATATAACATGAGTCACATACGTTAACTTAAAATGTTTTAGTTGTTGTTGTTACTGTTAACTGCCATCAAGTTGGTTCCGACTCATAGCAACCCTGTATAGGGTTTCCAATGAGCAGCTGCTAAATTTCAACAGCTAACCTTGTAGTTCAAACCGACCTTTCGGTCCACAGAGGCCATGAAACCACTTGGTCTGGCTCTGCCCAGTCAACCACAGTTCCAGCTATCACATTGTTGTTGTTGTTGTTAAGTGCCATCAAGTCAGTTTCAAGTCATAGTGACCCTATATAGGGTTTCCAAGAAGTGGCTGGTGACCTTGCAATTCAAACCAACCTTGCAGTCCAGTGCATTATCCTGCAGCACCACACCAGGACTCCAGCCTTTAGGTTAGTAAACCAAAAACCAAGCCCACTGCTGTTAAGTCAATTGAGCACATACAGTTTGTGTTACGTAGGGACCTTGTCACATGTGGCTAGTGGCTGGCATACTGGACAGTGCATGTCTACATTATGCTTCCTTCTCCCAGCAACTGAATGATCTATATCCTGTCATCTGATTCCACAACTGTTTTCAGGAGCCGGGTGGTGTCTCCAGTCATAGATGTGATCGACTGGAAGACTCTCCAGTATTACCCAACCAAGGACCTGCAACGTGGGGTGTTGGACTGGAAGCTGGATTTCCACTGGGAGCCCCTGCCAGAGCATGAAAAGAAGACCCTCCAGTCTCCCATCAGTCCCATCAAGTAAGGCCTACTTTTCCTTTTTCTCCTCTGTAGAATCCCAAAGAGCTAATGCTGACTCCACCAGTTTCCTAGTAAATTACTTAACCTGTGCCTCAGTTTCCTCATCAGTAGATTGACGATAGTAATGGTATCTAATTTATAGGGTTGTTATAAAGATTGTTGTTGTTGTTAAGTGCCTTCGAGTCGGTTCCGACCCATAGCGACCCTGTACAGGGTTTCCGAGGGTGTAAATCCTTACGGGATTAGAAAGCCTCATCTTTCTCCCGCGGAGAGACTGGTAGTTTCGAACCGCTGACCTTAAGGTTCGCAGCCCAATTCGTAACCACTACGCTACCAGAATGAGCTAATATATGAAAAACATTAGACAAAGCCAAGCACTCAACTCTAGGTGTTATTATTGTTACACTAGTTGGACTCCTGGTATGGCACTATGGGATAAAGCACTGTACCAAAAATTTGTTTTCAAATACAAGATCAGTTCAAACGTACCTTGAAAACCCTATACAGGGTTGTTATCAGTCGGAATCTACTCAATGGCACTTATCAACAACAATGACAAAGTGGAGTCCAGTGCCCTTCACTTAGTTCCAAGGATGCCCCAGAGGGGGAATCAAAAGTGCCAGAGGTGGGATCTTGACCTAGCTCTAACTTACCAGGAAACATTGGAAGCTCCTTGGAGTTGGATTCCTTCTCAGAAAAAAAGGAAGAATTTACTAGATGAATGGCTCATTGTTTGGTGCTGTCTTATCTATGTCCAATACTATGCCATCCTTATAAGTGTTTAAACACATTGCTGCTGTTATGTTTAAGCCCACTGCTGGTTGATCCATCTTGTTGAGGGTCTTCCTCTTTATAACCAACCCTCTACTTTACATCAAGCACGATGTTCTTCCATCTCCAGGAACTGGTTTCTCCTGGTAACATGTCCAAAATACAGGAGACTGAACCCTCACCATCCTAGCTTCTGAGAAGCAGCATAGCAGTATTTCTTCTAAGACAGATTTGTTTGTTCTTCTGGCAGTCCATGATACTTTCAAAATCTTTTTGGCAACACCATAATTCAAATGCATTCATTCTTCTATGATCTTCCTTATTCTTTACCCAACTTTCACATGCATATGAATGAATTGAAAATACCATGGCTTGAGTCAGGCGAATCTTAATCCTCAAACTGTCAGCTTTGCTCTTTAACACTTTAAAGAGGTCTTGTGGAACAGAATTGCTTGATGCAATATGCTGTTTGATTTCTTGACTGCTGCTTCTATGAGTGTTGATTATGAATTCAAGAAAATTGAAGTCTTTGGCATGTTCAATTTTTTATCATAATGTTATTTATTGGTACAGTTGTGATGTTCTTTACATTGAGCTGCAACCCATATTGAAGGATGTAATCTTTGATAGTCATCAGTATTTTAAATCCTCTTGCTTCCATAAAATCTACATATTGCAAATTGTTAATAAGTTTTCCTTCATTTCTGATACCATGTTCTTCATACAATCCAGCTTTTCAGATTATTTGCTCAGCATATATACTGAATAAGTATGGTGAAAAAATACAACACTGGTGCACAACTTTCTTCCTTTTAAACCATGCAGTATACCCTTGTTTCATTCTAACAATTGCCTTATGGGCTATGTACAGGTTCCTCATGAGCACAATTAAGTGTTCTGGAATACCCATTCTTTGTGATGTTATCCATAGTTTATCATGATCTACACAGCCAAAAGCCTTTGCGGAGTCAATAAAGCAAAGGAAACCTCTTCTGGTATTCTCTACTTTCAGCCAAGATCCATCTGACATCAGCAATGATAGCCTTAGTTCCACATTCTCTTCAGAATCCAGATTGAATTTTTTACAGTTCTTTGTTGATGTACTGTTACAAATGTTTTTGAATTATCTTCAGCAAAATTTACTTTCATGTGATATTAATGATAGTGTTCAATGATTTCTGCACTCTATTGGGTCAGCTGTCTTGAGAATAGGCACAGTTATACATCTCTTTCAATTTTTTGTCCAGGTAGCTACATTCCACATTTCTTGGCAAAGATGAGTAAGTGCCTCCAGACTGCATCAGTTTGTTGAAAGATTTCAATTTGTATTCCATCAATTCCCAGAGCTTTGTTTTTACCAATGCCTTCAGTACAGGTTGGCCTTATTTCTTCAATACCATTGGCTCTTGATGATATGCTACCTCTTGAAATGGTTGAATATCAGCCATTTATTTTTAGTACAATGACTGTGTATTCCTTCCATCTTCTTTTGATACTTTGTGCATCCTTCAATATTTTGCCCATAGAATCCTTCAACAATGCAAGCCGAGATCAAATTTTTTTTGTTCTTTCAGCTTGAGAAATGCTGAGTGTGTTCTTCCCTTTTGGTTTTCTAATACAGGTCTTTTCATATTTCATTATAATATTTTACTTTTCCTTCTTAAGCAGCCCTTTGAAAACTTCTGTTCAGCTCTTTCATCTACTCATTTCTTCAATTTACTTTTTCTTTAGGTTCAAGAGCCTTCTGACATCTGTTTGGTCTTTTCTTTCTTTCCTTTTTAATGATCTTTTGCTTTCTTCCTGTATGATGTTCTTAATGTTATCCCTGACTTTTCTGGTCTTCGGTCATTAGTGTCTTATGCATCAAATCTGTTTATGGATGGTCTGTAAATTCAGGTGGGATATATTCAAGGTCATATATTGGTGGTGTGTACATCTGAAAAATGATAGTATTACTGGTCTTCCTTGTAGGTGTATGGATATTATCCTATCACAGACAGAATTGTACTTCAAGATAGATCTTAAAATGCTCTTTTTGATGATGAATGAGACACCATTCCTCTTCAGTTTGTCATTCCCAGCATAATAAACCATATAATTGTCAGATTCAGAACGCCCAACACCAATCCATCTCTGCTCAATAATGCCTAGAATATCAAACCTTTATGCATTCTATTTGACTTCCAATTTTCCTAGATTCATACTTAGTACATTCAAAGTTCAGATATTAATGGATGTTTGCAGCTGTTTCTTCTCATTTTAAGCTGTGCCCCATCAACAAATGAAGGTCTCAAAAGCTTTACTTCAATGTCATTAAAGTCAGCTCTACTTTGGGAAGGCAGCTCATCCTGAGTCATATGTTGAGTGCCTTCCAACCTGAAGGGCGAATCTTCTGCACTATTCCAGACGATGTTCTACTGGTATGCATAAGGTTTTCAGTAACTAATCATCCAGCAGCGGTCTTCCTCTCCTTCTTCTTCGTCTGTCTTAGTCAAGAAACTCCACTGAAACCTGTCCACCATGGGTGACCTTGCTGGTATTTAAAATAATGGTGGCATAAATTCCAGTACCACAGCGACACACAAGCCACCACAGTGTGACAAACTGACAGTGGCTGTCCCTGAATAACCTTGCACCTACTTCTCACTATGTTTCACTAAGAAATGTTAATATATTTGATTAAGGAGTGCTGGTGCAGACCCTCGTGTAGCTATCATGTAATATATGACGTGTACTCCTTTTTAAAGTCCAAAAATATCTGAATTCAAAACACTCTGGCCCCATGCATCTCAAGTATGGGATGTTGTTGTTGTTGTTAAGTGCCATCAAGTGGGTACCAACTCATAGCAACTCTGTGCACAACAGAACAAAACACTGCCTGATCATGGGCCAACCTCACAATTGTTGCCACACTTGACTTCATTGATGCTGCCACTTTGCAATCCATCTCACTGGGGGGTCTTCCTCCTTTCTCTGTCACCTTAGCAAACATGATACCCTTATCCAACAACTGGTCCCTCCTGACAATATGTTCGAAGTATGAGAGATGATGTTTGGCCATCCTGGCCTCCAAGGAGCACTCTGGCTGTGCTTCTTCCAAAACAGATCTGTTTGTTCTTTTGGCAGCCCATGGCACTTTCAATAACTTCCTCCAACCCCATAACTCAAAAGCATCAATTCTTCTGCGGTCTTCCTTATTCACTGTCCAGCTTTCATATGCATATGAAATTATTGAAAATACCATGGATTGGATCAGGCGCACCTTAGTCCACAAGCTGACATTTTTGCTCTGCAACACTTTAAAAAGGTCTTGTGCAGCAGATTTGCCTAATGCAATACATCGTTTGATTTCTTGACTGCTGTTTCCATGTGTTGATGGTCGATCCAAGAAGAATGAAGTCCTTGACAACTTCAATCTTTTCTTTGTTGATAAGTATGGGATAGTAAACTTGTAATAACAAAATTTGTGAGCATTTAACATGTGGCACTTAAAATGCTAAGCACTTTATATGACTTCTTCTAACCTTCCCCAAACCCTACTTTGAAATATTATTATTCTTACCATTTGAAAAGTGAGGGAACCCAGTTCAGACAGCTTGTATATCTTGCAATCAGTCACTGAAAACTGGATCTAATAATAACTGCAATACTGGTTTTTGTTTTGTTTTGTTTGTTTGTGTGTTTTGACATGACTTAAGCTGCTTTAAAGGAGCTATGAAGGCACAGTTGTTAAGTGCTCAGTTGCTAACTGACCTCACCAGATGCTCCAAGTAACACAGAAGCGGCAGTGTGTTTCAGTAGATTTGTTGTTATTGTTGTTGTTAAATGCCATCAAGTCGGTTCTGACCTATAGTGACCCTGTATAGGATTTTCAAGGAGCGACTGGTGAGGTTGAACCACCAACCTTGTGGTTCAAACCAACTTTGCAGTCTAGCGCATTAACCCATAGCACCACACCGGGACTCTAGTAAAGATTTACTGCCTCAGAAACCCTACGGGGCAGTCCTATTTTACTCTACACGGTCACTATGAGTCAGCATTGACTTATCAGCAGCGTGTTTTTGTTTTGTTTTTTTTTTTTTTAAAGCACCTTAAAGGTCATTTTTGAATGGAGTACTGGTGTGGCACTGTAGGATAAGCACTGGACCACAAGGTCAGTTTGAACCAAAGGTCAGCTGCTTCTCAGAAACCCTTTACAGGGTGGCTATGTGTCGGAACCGACTCAACAGCACTTAGCAACAACAAAGGTCATTTTCCAAAAGTAATAACCTCTTTGAAAGATCTGGACTGAATCATTTATATCTTGAGATAGTCTCAGAATTTTTACTTCATTAACATTTTGTCCTGAACGAAGGGTCACTTGTACAAAAACCTCTGGCTACATCTTCCCCAGTTAAAAACTGCTTTGAAGGATGTTACTGTCATTTGAATTCCCTTGTTCAAGATTTCTGACTTCCAGAAGGCACATCATGTGTATTTCCCACTGGATTGGGAGGAGGCCTATTTACTCACAGAGTCCTTAGTGGATTCAACTTAGAACTGGGGAACATGGAGATGTTCATTAAAAAAAGAGAAGAGGGTGAGGTAAGGGAATAGGGACAGAGAAGGGGAAGTAGCCTGACAGCTTCCCTTTGTCCAGGCTCCACACTGTCTCCCTGAGGATAAACTCACTGTAAGTGGCTTTGCTCCCCTAACATTCCTTCACAGAGAATGAAGTCAAACGTCCACCTCAGACATGGTACCTGGTCCCTTCCTATAGGATAAGTACCTGAGGACAGGTAGAAAATGCCCTGATAACTATAGCTCTGTTTTTCATAAAATACTGGTATTTCCAGACTTCAGTAAAATAAATACTGCATTGTCGTTTTGGCCCAGTCTTTTATTTAAAGGCACTGACACCTGCCTGAGCCCAGATTCTGCTCTCAGGCCCTGAAGCACCCACTTGATAAATCCCAAGCCTCCCAACCTCACCCAAGTGTCTGGTTTTCAGCTGCAGCCTCTTTCCCACTTCTGTTTCCAGGACCCCTGTCGTGCCGGGTGGAGTCGTGGCGATGGACAGGCATCACTTCCAAAACACGGGAGCTTATGACCCTCTCATGTCACTGCAGGGTGGTGAAAACCTCGAACTATCTCTCAAGGTATGTCTTAGAGGGAGGGAGGACATAGACAGGTTCTCCGGGCCAGAGGATAAGACCAAAGCTTGGTGGCAGCATTGTCTCTAGTCTGGGATGAGGCCACGGGCAAATTTTAAACTTTACAATATGAAGTCTTCAGCCTCCTGTTTCTCCTCTTTCCCTCCTGTTTAGTGCCCTAATTTGTTATCATTCCTAGTCTCCTTCCCTCAGAACCCACTTCTCAACCTATGTGCAGGAAATGACAGATGAGGGAGCTTCAGAGAGTTTGTGGAAAATGCTATTATTGTTTAATTCCATTTTTCCAATGAACTTCATATGACCAGCTACGTATACCTTAGTGCAAGGAGTATTGGCAGTTCAGCAGTTGAATTCTAACATTCCACACAGGAGACCCAGGTTCAATTCCCAGCCAATACACCTCGGGTCCTACTGCCACTCACCTGTCAACAGAAGCTTGAATGCTGTTATAATGCTGACTAGGTTCCGGTAAAGCTTTCCACACTAGAATGGACCAGGAAATATTTTGAGGGCAACTTGATGACTGCTAACAACATCTTAGTGCAGAGGTTCCTACACATTCTTAGCATCTCAATCATTTTTTTGGCACCATAGGCCAAAACAAACCCGTAAGAGGCCTATGTATTAAGTAGTTGTTGTTAAGTTTTGTCAAGTCGGTTCCGACCCATAGTGACCCTGTATAGGGTTTCCGAGGAGCAGCTAGTGAGCTTGAATCACCGACCTTGCAGTTCAAATGGCTTAGCAATTGGGCGCATCAACCACAGCGCCAAACCAGGACCTTACAATATGCACTTTTCAGAAGGTAGAGGAGACTGTATTTAAGGAAAGCTTGCTTTCATCTGCACCACAAATGACTTAGGTGCTTGTGCAGCAGGAGACTTCACAAGCTTTTGGTAATTCCTTGAACACATCTCTGCCCCTGAGGAAGCATCCCTTGGGCGCTGGGGTGCTAACCCACATGGCCACCTCTCTCTAAGTGCTGAGATCTGTATGTTTCAAGAGAGACTCAATTCAGGTCATTGCTTAGAAACAGCCCCCTCACCTACAAGGCCTTCCCTGGACAACTAAGCCCAGCTCTTCTCGCCTTGTCACTTCCCTGCTCAGATCTTCCAGATCTGGAGATGATACTTTACCCTGAGGACTAAACTCTTTACCATTCTTTGCTTGTCATTTCTTACCATTTGCCAATCCCTCATAAATTCTTTCTACACACTATTTTTGAAGGTTGTTGTTGTTGTTGTTAGGTGCCATCGAGTCATTACTGACTCATAGTGACCCTATACACAACACAACAAAACACTGCCTGATCCTGGGCCAACCTCACAATTGTTGCTATGTTTGAGTCCACTAATGCTGCCACTATGCCAATCCATCTTATTGGGGGTCTCCCTCTTTTTCTCCAATCCTCCACCTCACCAAACATGATAGCCTTCTCCAGCGACTGGTCTCTCCTGACAATATGTCCAAAGCATGAAAGACGAAGTCTGGCCATCCTAACTTCCAAGGAGCACTCTGGCTGTATATCTTCCAACACAGATCTATCTGTTCTTTTGGTGGTCCGTGGTACTTTCAATATGGTGGTGATGGTTATGTGCTGTGGAGTTGGTTCCAACTCATAGCAACCCTGTACAGGGTTTCCAAGGCTGTAAATCTTTAAGGGAGCAGAAACCCTCATCTTTCTCCCCCAGAACAGCTGGCAGTTTCGAACTGCTGACTTTGTGGTTCGCAGCCGGATTCGTAACCACTACGCTACCAGAGCACCTTTCTATATAGAGAGGTGTTTATTTTCTCCCTTTGTGGCAGGCCTGGCTCTGTGGTGGCTCCGTTGAGATCATTCCCTGCTCTCGGGTAGGGCATGTCTACCGAAATCAGGATGCCCATTCCCTCCTGGACCAGGAGGCTACCCTGCGGAGCAAAGTTCGCATTGCAGAGACGTGGCTGGGGTCATTCAAAGAAACCTTCTACAGGCACAGCCCAGAGGCCCTCTACCTGAGCCAGGTAAGTAGACTGTCACAGGGGGGTTCTGTGACCATCACAGGGGGCTTCTATAACTACCACAGGTCACCAGTTGGAGGCCAGGCTGGAAGGTGCCTCTCCCTTCCACCTGGAGGGGAGAACAGAAAGTTCTGACTTAGGCTTCCCTTAAGTTATCCCCTCCTTGCAGTTCAAATGGCTTAGCAGTCTGATAGCATTGTCCCCTGCGTTTCCCAGCATCTCACAGGACATCACACGTAATCTCCACCTGGAACTCCCTACCATGGTCCCCTGAAAGGGATGTAACCCTTGCCACAGAGCAAAGGGCAGGGAGTTGGTTGGTGGTTGAGCACTGAACTGGTGTGTAGTGACACAATTCTCCTGGGCACAGTGCTAAAGCCTGTGACATTACCCAAGACATGAAATAATGTAGACTTAACAATATAATAAGGAGCTCCGGTAGTGTGGTGGTTATGAGTCGGGCTGCCAACCTGAAGTCTGGCAGTTCAAAACTACCAGCTGTTCAATGGGAGAAAGATGAGGCTTTCTGCTCCTGTAAAGATTTACAGCCTCAGAAACCCTGTGCTGGGTCACTACAAGTCTGAACCAATTCCACGGCACATAACTACCACAGGATAGACAACTCAGATGATGGGGAGGACAATGTACAAGAAAGGGGAGGGCAATGTACAAGAAGCGGGAGGTTGGCAGAAGAAAGATGAAGATAGGTGAAGACCCAGGAAGTTATGCAAATGCTAAAATAGAAGTAAACAGTGATATATACACAACATTGGAACAACAGACTTCTGTGTATAGACACAGTCTGAATGGGTATGGAAGAGTGGGATATACAAGTACTTATATGAGTTTGAAAGAGGATATTTGCACATGGATGACCTGGTGTGGTGCTGTGGGTTAATGAGCCAGACTGCAAAGCTGTTTGAACTTCAAGGTCGGCGGTTCAAGCTCACCAGTTGCTCCTCGGAAACCCTATACAGGGTCACTATGGGTCAGAACTGACTCGATGATACTTAACAACAACAACAACCATAACAGGGAGGAAGTGAGATAACTGTTGTCCATGGAGGGCATTGCAATGTCTGAGATGAAACAAAGTGTACTATTTCTTGAATGTAAAACTGATGATTTGCTCTGTAAACCTTCAAATAGGCTCAACTAGAACTCGGTACGTAGGCTGAAGTCAGTCTAAAAGCAAAACCAGGTAATTTATTTACAAAACTTCAACCTTCTCATCGTAGCAGTCTGTATGGTTAGAAGTGCCATGACTATATAATTGGCGCCAGATAATAACAGAAATTGGGAACTGGAGTGATACTGACATTTTAGAGCCTCACTGATCTGCTTTTAAGGAAATTCAATTTGCTTGCCTAGTTGCTGACTGGGGAATTTTTTAAGTGCTTGTATGTGTTTAGCTAAATTCTTCATTTTATTAACTAGGAAACTGATAATCCATGAGAGAGTGAGTTGCTAAAGAAAAGTAGGAAAAGAACTAGAACTAGAATTGCAGCTACAAGCAGGTGCAGTCTTAGAGTTTGTTTTCTGCCTCCCAGCCTCCTGGCGTCTGAAAACACTAATCCTCAAATATGGATACCATCCTTTCTGGGAATAGCTGATGTTCTTGTGAGGCAGCTCTCTTCTGTGGTTTTGTGTGGCTTTGGGGTAGGCAGGGCTACGCTTGATATATGTTAAGTGCCATCGAGTCGGTTCTGACCCATAGTGACCCTGTATAGGGTTTCCAAGGGGCGACTGGTGAGTTTGAACCACCGACCTTGTAGCTCAAATGACTTTGCAGTCTGACGCATTAACCCACAGCACCCTATATTTCAAGGACATATAAACACTGGCAGAGTCCTGGTGTGATGCTGTAGTTAATGCGCTGGACTGCAAAGTCAGTTGGAACTGCAAGGTTGGCAGTTCAAGCTCATCAGCCGCTTCTCAGAAATCCTATACAGGGCCGCTATGGGTCAATGGCACTTAATAACAACATTATAAGCACTGGACTGCTAACCACAAGTTGCTCTGAAAAAGATGAGGTTGTCTGCTCCCGTAAAATTTTACAGTCTCAGAAACCCTAAATATATGCTATGGCATTGGGTTTGGTTTTTTGGTTATGTTTCTGCCTCCATGTGGCCTATCATGGTTCTGCACCACACCAACTAGGTACAATGGTCGTGGTGGCGGTGGTGTGCCAAGGAGTCGGTCCTGACTTATAGCAACTCTGTATAGGGTTTCCGAGGCTGTAAATCTTTCTGGGAGTAGAGAGCTTCATCTTTCTCCCATGGAGTGACTGGTAGATTCAAACTGCTGGCCTTTTGGTTAGCAGCCCAATTCATAATCCACTACGCTATCAGGGCTCTTTATGAGCTGCAATGACTCACCATTTTGCCAGCTTCCACGGGAAAGTTAGCATAGCAAGAATATCATGGTCTTTGTAGACTGAAGGTTTCAGGGGTTGGAGGAGGGGGCTGAAACCACAAAGCAAGTGACCACCAGTCTCGCTGGTTCCACAACTCTAAGAAAGACCCATCTTTGCCTGCCCCTTCCAAACTCTTTTCTCCCAACACATGAGCTCCCCAGTCTGCAGCCCTGAGAACATGTGGGTCTTAGCCCCCTCACTCGGTCCTACTCCTTTAGCTTTTTCCCAGTCACCTGTCTCCATCTCCTCAGCCACAACATGAATTCTGGAGGAAAACAAGCTTTTCCATTTCACTGCCTGTGTCTTTCTCCTCCAAAGGCTAAGAAGCCAGACTGCACGGAACGCCTCCAGCTGCAAAGGAGACTGGGGTGTCGGATGTTTCACTGGTTCCTGGCCAATGTCTACCCAGAGTTGTACCCATTGGAACCCAGGGCCAAATTCTCTGGAAAGGCAAGGCACAACCTAGGGTAGAAGTGGAAGAGAAGGCAGGCTGGAATGGGTCGGGGGAGTGGGGTGGGGAAGCTTCCTAAGAAAGAAGCAGGATTTTCAGATTGGGTTCTAGTTCCCATGTTCTGCCATTAACCCTGGGCAACCAATAACAAGTTCAGAGGGCCCTGAGGGCTTTGAGACCACTGCTCCTGTAAAGATTTACAGCATCGGAAACCCTGTACAGGGTCGCTATGAGTCGGAACCAACTCCACGGCACCTAACAACAACAACACCATGCCTCCAGCCAGCCCCAGAGGGGTTGACGAGATGGCCCTCTTACCTATCCCAGAGCCTAGAAGGAGGACAGTGTGGTCTGCTTCCTTCAGGAGACCTGTCCCTTATAGTATGTGGTTTCAAATGGACTCCAGTTGTTTTTAAGGCCAGAGCATGGCACCTTGAGGTGCACTTCAGAGAGTGAGGAAAAAAACGATTGGCTGATGGAGGATTCTTTACAATGGAGGTCAGGATTGACTTCTGTGTGGATGTCTGCTTTCAGCTCCACAGCACTGGACTTGGCTTCTGTGCAGACTGCCTGGCAGAAGGGGACACCCTGGGCTGTCCCATGACTCTAGTTCCTTGCAGTGACAGCCGGCAGCAACAGGTAAGGTTCATGGAAAGCCAAGAAGTAGGTGACATTTTTCTGGGATGGTCTTCACTTCTCTTTGGGGCATCTCCTTTCACTTCCATGTCCCTTGAATGTCAGTGGGCAGTCCCCTACTGTGATGACGGACCTTTTCCATCACAGCTCTGCCCACCCATCCCCCTGCTGTAAGCACAAATATAGACCATCATCAGAGAACAAAAACATCCTGGTTAGAAGAAAATTGAGAGGCTATTTAGCTAAACTTTTCATTTGACAGATGAAGAAACTGAGATTTACAGAGTGATTAGCCCAGGGGCTATAAAACTGAGCTGCCTCCAGATTTCAGTCAGGTGAAGAAATGAGCAAAGCCAGCTGGGTGGAGGCTGTTGTGACATGAGGAGTGCATGTCCCATGGAAAAGGACATAGTTGAACCCTCCTCCTGGACTTAAACAGATTTTTTCTTGTCTTGCATATAAGGGAACCCAGAATCATGAAATCATCTAAAATTTTGAAAGAGACTGGACATCCAGAGTTTATGGAAAAGCTCTGTACTTAAATTTTTAAAATATAAGGCAGAGACAGAAAACCAACCAACCAACCTGTGTGCAGGCAAATTTTCATTAGGGACCATCTGGAAACCTCTGGAGCAGCCCAAGATCATCAGCCAACTAGAACCAGTGTCCCACTCTAGTGAGTCACCAGAATGGGAGTTCTGAGCACAGAAGCAGAGAGAGGAAGCAGGGGGAACTCAGAAAATGTGCCCCATTGCAGATGTGCTCAAACCCAAGACTGGTGACACACTCTGAGACTCAAGTCCTCTGACACTGAACCCTGCCCAAGTCTGTGTGTGTGTCTTTCAGATATTTAATGTAGGTCTACACTTTGTCCCAGGAGTCCTGGTGTGGCGATGTGGGTTAATGCGCCAGACTGCAAAGCTGTTTGAACTGCAAGGTTGGCGGTTCAAGCTCACTAGTCACTCCTCAGAAACCCTATACAGGGTCATTATGGGTCGGGATTGACTCGACGGCACTTAACACCACCAACAACACTTTGTCCCAGAGGGGTGTCTTTAAAGGCTCCCTGGTGTGTGTGTGTGTGTTGTGCGTGTATGCTGTGTGCTTGTTTGTACTGTGTGAGTGAAATGGGAAGGAAGATTGGATTTGGGACAGACAGGCTTCAAAGTCTGTCTCTAAGCCACAGAATTAACATAAAAATTAGTTTCTACTCCACTTGCCAGAGGAGGTCTTATCCCCAGATGAAGTCATCTGCACCATGGTTCAGATCCTTTCTGGTGCCCAAAGCTCTTTAGTTTATGAAATACCTTCCACAGGGAGGAAGTCTTTTACTGCACAGTGAGAAAGAAAGCAGTAAGTACAAGGCCCTAGGAGAAGGGAGAAACAACACAAAGCTCGACTAGGCCACTTGGGATGCCAGGGAGCTTCACCCTAGAATTAAGGGCTCTAATGACTACATGGGGGTGGGAACAAAAGACAGCACTGAAGACCAACCCTCAAATTTCCCTGAGGCCCCACCATGCAGTATGACTGAGGCCCTCAGTATCCAGCAAGCAGGAGTCTGCCCTAGTGACACAAAAGCTTATGGTCCATAGGGCAACCAGAAAGAGATGCCCAATGTGGATAGCAGGCACGTCCTCTCCATAGGGAGAGGCCCCTCCGTGGACTAGAGGCCCTGTCCATTAATATACATGGCAAACTCAGGACAGATCACTTGACATCCATGCTGCTTTGAGAAATCCAGGTGGTGTCTTGTTAAAAATCCAGCCCTAGGAAAGATAATCCTTGATTTTACAATCTAGGATTGTCTGTTGTTGTTGTTGTTAAGTGCCATCGAGTCAGTTCCGACCAATAGCAACTCTGTATAGGGTTCCTAGCAGTGACTGGTAAGCTTGAACTGCCAATCTTGAGGTTCAAACCAACTTTGCAGTCCAGCGCATTACCCCATAACACCATACCAGGACTCCAAGGCTTGTCTATTCCCTGGCAATTGTTCGTAATTCTTTAGGAAATATTTTTGATTGCCCCATGGGGGACAGAATCAACTCCTCATCCCAATTTGTCTCAGATCTTGAGGCTGATGATATCACATATGCACCAAAAGATCTTGGGCAGGTTTCCTAACCTGAGTGCTGGTTTCATCACTGTAACTGGAGATAATGTAGCCCTCCTTCATACAAACAAATGTTAGGGTGTTTGCTTTGAGACTATTAGCAAGAACTTCTAGTTATAGCAATATTGTGAACTAGACAAGCTGAAAGCTTACCCTTAAAAACACCTAGATGTGTGAGATAAAAAGTAAGCAACACACTCATCTATGCATAAGTAACTGAGTTTTTAAGACATAAGGGAAATTTCCAGGGACTCAAAATCAAGGAGCCTCTGAAAATAAAGTCCTAAGTTCCTGGACCAAGCTGCCCCATCAGGGCCGAGGGAATGGTGAATGTCAGTCTCAGGAACTTAGGGGTATTGGCTGCACACAGAGATAAGTGATAAAAACCCATGACAGGTGAGAAGTTGGAAATGAGATTCCTATGTAACTGAGGAACTTCAAAAGGTAATCTATTCATGAAAAATTTGGCCCAAAAAAATCACTACTGTCACATAGATGACAAGGAAGCTTATCTGTCTCAACAGCAGATGTGAGTAGTCCTTTGACAAAAACTACTCACCTCTGAGACTTTTTCTTTTTTTTAAATTTAAAGACAGTTTAAATTTTCTCATGTACCAAAAGTAGTTTAGAAGTTGGTTGTTTTGGGGTTGGTTAATTCAGCAACTCAGCAATGTCAGGTTATGTGGGAAGGGGGAGGTCAATTTCTCCAGAATAGTTTTAGCTTTCTCCTCATGGTTGCAAAACAGCTGCCACAGCTCCATTTTCACCAGACAACTTAGCTTCCAAGGGAGGATGAATGAGAGGTATAAGGGATCTCTTTGGATGTATCAATTTTATTTTCACTTATGAAAGAAGAAAATATGTTCCAGCCGCTCTAAAATACCAGTAGGCCTTCACCCCTGAGAAATGTTAATCACAAGTGTATATCTTATGTGAATTTAGGGTTCAAATTTATACTAACTTTGTGGTATGGGAATCCTCAAACAAGACCATCTACATAATTTACAAAGTCTAACACAAAGTGAAAATGCAGGGCCACCTATTTAACAATTATTAAGAATTTAAAGACAGCAATAAAAGGGAATTGAATCAAGTGTATTAAACCAAGAACATAAAACCTTTATAAGCAACAGTCCCTATGTGACTCCTCAGGATGCATGCCCACGAAGTCAGTCTTGTCTCCAAGCCATAAAATTATCATTAAAATTAGTTCTAAGCTGTACTTGGGAGACATGAACACAAAATGGTTTTATCAGGACATATCCTCCAACCAGGGTATACAGGCTTGACATTTAAAGCCCCTCTGCAAATAGACTCACAATTCAATGCCATAAAACACAGGAGGGAAGAATAATCATGAGTGAGAGTCAGGAGATAAAAAAACAAGAAAATTAGTTACACAGGGAGGCCAGTTTTCTCTGGAAAGAGATCAACTTGGACCTCAGAGAAGTTTCTCATCTGCCCTTTCAACAGTGCACTCATGAAACACATGCCGTTCTTTATGGCCTCACCTACAATACAGCCAATAGGATAAAGGGGGAACATAGCAGAATGGACTAATATGTGAGCACAGCAGGAATGAGAACATTTCATCAGTAAGGGCTAGTCTAGCAGCATGTCCGTGGACTTGACCCAGAGGCACGGTCTTGCTTCCTCCAGTAGAATCTGAACACTGCCCCTGGGCCTCGCTCTATCTCATCACTCTCCTCTCCTCTCTAGTTTTAGAAGGGCCTTTCTCTAGCTGTACTGACAAATATTCCCTCTGTGCCAGCACCTGCAGCACACCAGCAGGAAGGAGATACACTTTGGCAGCCCACAGTACCTGTGTTTTGATGTCCATGATGAGCAGGTGATTCTACAGAACTGCACTAAGGAAGGTCCTGTCATCCAGCAGCAGCACTGGGATTTCCAGGAGGTAAGTCAGTGGTTCAGGAGGTGGACAGAACTTCTGGTCAGTGCTATATCCTTGGTGCTTCTTAACCAAGGGGGCAGCTTCTATCATACAGGCCTCTGTTGTCAAACTGGGGAAGCTTCATTGTTGTTGTTGTCAGGTGCCATCGAGTTGAAACCGACTCATAGCGACCCCATGCACAGCAGAATGAAACAATGTCCGATCCTGGGCCAACCTCACTAGCACTGCCACACTTGAGTCCATCAATGATGCCACCTGGCTGATCCATCTCGTTGGGGGTCTTCCTCTTTTTCTCTGACCCTCCACCTTACCCAATATGACATCCTTCTCCAGTGACTGTTCTCTCCGGACAATGTGTCCAAAGTATGAGAGACGAAGCCTAGCCACCGTGGCCTCCAAGGAGCATTCTGGTTGTACTTCTTCCAAAACAGATCTATTGGTTTTTTGGCAGTCCATGGCACTTTCAGTATTCTCCTCCAACACCACAACTCATAGGCATCAATTCTTCTACGATCTTCCTTATTCACTGTCCAGCTTTCACATCCATATGAGGTTATTGAAAATACCATGGCCTGGGTCAGGCGCACCTTAGTCCTCAAGCTGACATCTCTGCTCTTCAATACTTTAAAAAGTTCCTGTGCAGCAGATTTGCCCAATGCAATACGTCGTCTGATCTCTTGACCGCTGCTTCCGCGAGTGTTGGCAGTTGATCCAAGAAGAATGAAGTCTCTTCTCCATTGATAAGAATGCTGTTTATTGGTCCAGTGGTGAGGATTTTTTTCTTAACATTGAGATGTAATCCATATCGAAGGCTGTGCTCTGTGATCTTCATTAAGTATATGTTTCAAGTCCTCTTCACTTTCAGCAAGCAAGGTTGTATCATCAACATATTACAGGTTGTCAATGAGTCTTCCACCAACCCTGACGCCACAGTTTTCTTCATAGAACCCAGCTTCTCGTATTATTTGCTCAGCATACATATTGAACAAGAATGGTGAAAGCACACAACCCTGTCACACACCTTTCCCAATTTCAAAACATTCAGTGTTCCCATGCTCTGTTCGAACAACTGCTTCGTGGTCCAGGTACAGATTTCTCAGAAGTACAATTAAGTGTTCTGGAATACTCATACTTCTCAATGTTGTCCATAGTTTGTCATGATCCACACAATCGAAAGCCTTCGCGTAGAGAAGGCCAAAATAGCACTTGTTTTCTTTTCATGCAAATTCCACTGTGAGCATTTTATCATTTTAGTAAGACTTGCATTATTCCTGGTACTTTTGAGAGTGGAACTCTTGATCATTTCCAAGGGTTATATATCATTAAAGAGGAAGTGTTGTTGTTGTTGTTAAGTGCTGTAGAGTCAGTTCCAACCCATAGCAACCCTGTATAGGGTTTCCGAGGAGCAGCTACTGAGTTTGCACTGCAGACCTTGAAGCTCAAACCAACTTTGCAGTCTAGTGCATTAACCTACAGTGCCACCCCAAGAAATAGTGGATAATAAAGTACTTAGAATCCCAGACACAGAACTGGGACAGGAAGGTAGCAGTGTCAGCAATAAGTGCCCATATGCAGTTTTTCTCCATTTTAAATGCTTTTTGAAATGATATAGGGTGTAAATATACAAAATACATATATCAGTTTTTATTTCTTCAACTTCTCATAAGCAGTAGCTAATTGATAACTTCAGCAGAATCACAGCAGGCAATTCAGAAAAAAAGCTCTTGGGGCTCTAATGACAAGTATACTCAGGATTTAGGAAGCCCACACATGCTCAGAGAAGTCTTGAAGCCAAGTTAAGCTCTCTAGTAAGACATAAAGAATCATTCTCAATAACTCCTGTGAACAAGACATGTTTCAGAAACAGCATTTAAAAATCACAAGTAAAAGATTAGTAACAACCATCATATTTCAGGCATTTTTTAAAAAGCTTTAAAATGATATTGGTGGTGGTGGTTATGTGCCATGGAGTTGGTTCCGACTCATAGCTACGCTGTATAGGGTTTCTGAGAGTGTAAATCTTTACGGAAGCAGAAATAAATCTCATCTTTCTCCCACGGAACCACCGGTAGTTTCAAACTGTTGACCATGAGGTTAGCAACCCAACTCATAACCACTATGCTATCAGGGCTCCTTTTAAACTGATACTATCAAAAATCAAATACTCCTGTCAGGAAGGGAGAATCAAGTCAATATGTGGTGGGTTTTGAGAAGGTAATGGCCATAGTCCCTCAGACATGGCTGGCTTAGCTCTTCAGTGAATCTTTGAAAGCTTGCTTTCTACCTGCTGCAATCCTGGTGTCGTGCTACAGGATAATGCACTAGAACAAAAGTTGTTTTGAACCACACGGTTCACACTCACCAGCCACTCCTGAGAAACCCTGTATAGGCCCTATGAGTTGGAACTGACTCAGTGACATTTAACAACAATTATACCTGGTGGCAGCAATACTGAGTTACAGGTTGAACTAAACCCCAAAGCTAATCCCATTGCTGCAGAGTCGATTCCGACTCATAGTGACCACCCTATAGGACAAAGTGAAACTATTCCATAGGATTTCCAAGGCTGGAATCTTTACATAAGCTGACTGCCTCATCTTTCTCCCATGAAGCAGCTGGTGGGTTCAAACCAATGGTCTTTCAGTTGACAGCCGAGAGCTTAACCACTGTGTAACCAGGGCGGATAAAATCCTTTTGAAATCAGAAATTTTCAGTACAGTGATCATAATGAATGTCACAAGTACAGCATAAAGAGTGAACATGATTTATACAGGGACCTCAACTAATCAGAACTCTCTAAGGTATAGCACATCTATGCAACCACAATAATAAAATAAGGATAATGACCCCAAAGCTCTGAATTACAGCCACATTTTGTTGTTAAGTGCCATTTGAATTGGTTCTGACTCGTAGCAACACTGAATAGGGTTTTCCAGGAGTGGCTGATGGGATTGAATCGCCAACCTTGAGGTCTAGAGCGGCCCAGTACTTTATCCTACAGCACCACACCAGAACTCCTTTCAGATTTTAAGACTTAATAAGCTATTTCAGGGTAACCAAAATACTGCAGCTCCTTTGCATATCAGTTCACACTACTTTTATGATTCTCTTAATATTTAGTACAAACCTTAGAAATGCCTTTCTTTGCTGACTATGGGGGACTGGTTTCTGTTTTTCAGAATGGAATGATTGTTCATATCCTTTCTGGACAATGCATTGAAGCTGTGGTGCAGGAAAACAATAAAGCCTTGTATTTGCGCCCATGTGATGGAAAAGCCAGTCAGCTGTGGCGATATGACCAAATCAATGCTGTGGATGAACGATGAATGCCACTGTCAGAAGGAAAAGAGAATATTGGCCATTAAAGTGCAGCTCCAAGGGGACTAAAAAGCCTGGATGTTTTATGAAGTAGACCTATTTGCATTTATATTTTATATTCTTTCTGATAGGAAAGAATATAAAGCATCTCTCCATCTTGCATCTCATTTTTTTGACAGCTGGCTATTTGAAAAGGAAAAAAAATTAATAATGATCTCATTGTCTTCATCATTGGAAGATAACCACTGCAAAGTACAGATGTTTCTTCTTCTTTTTTTTTTTTTCCTTTGAATGCTTCACAATTTCTTTTACTTTTGACTAGAGAAAGAAGTCTCGATATTTCTAGCAACACTTCTAGGACACATAGATCCAATGGGTTACATTTTTTTGTCTTTAAATGGGCTTACCTTGGAATGTCTGTGTGGCTAGCTGTGGAAATGAAGAGTGTGGAGAGTGTCTAGTGACCTGACATCCCAAATACTTTGGATTAGACTTGTTATTATGAATTTCATGTTCATTGATAGAACAAGAAATGCTCAGAAGAATGAGTATGTCAGAGCAAAGAAGGAAGATCCAATTATCCACCTCAGCCTAGCAGTTGAAAAGAGGCTATAGACTTTGAGAGAAGGTGGCTTCACATTTATGAGAATTCCCTCAACTTTCTACCTCTGTTCCCCCTGTCTTAACCTTTCTCGAGCTTACCTACCATAACCAATGCCCTTGCAGTGGATTTCTCTTTAATCCTTGGTGTTGAAAGAATCAGCCAAGACAGAGCACGCCCATTAGCAAAAAGCATTACAGTTTAGAAACTCTCCTAATTCCCTGTCACAGGGTTTGCATTTACTGGACCTTTGCATAGTGACAAACCTCCCTGACAAGCAAATTACAGAGTTTAAGCTACAATTCTTATAAGGGGAAACAGAGTTGAATATAAATGCCCATGAAATGGTAATAAGGCCATCCCTGAGCCCATCGGAGTTGTCTGGGACCACCAAATGTGTTGACAGGTTGAATGTTCACAAGTGTGGGGAGAAAAGGCCATATTGCTTGGTGAGTCTGGCATCTCAACCAGAATAGGACCAATGCTAAGAAGAGCTGAATGGCTCCTTGCTATAAACCTTGCCTACCTAGTTCATTCATTAAGAGTTGCTGAGTGGGGTTGATTCTACTCTTAGGAAGATGTCATTCATGCCCACTTAGTTCACTTGCCACATGGTAAGCTTAGAAACCTCCCCTTCAACAATGCTGATCTTCTTTGGCTGTTTCAGAACACAGTGTATTTCAAATGAGAAAAACTACATAGAAAATATGGTTTTCCAAACAATATCTACCAGGGTTATATACGTATTCCTTTGCTACTTTCTTAAGTCAGTGTAGTTCTCCTTTCTCAGAATGCATTCATTCTAGACCTGTGCTGTCCAGTATGGAAGCCACCTGCCACATGCAACTATACAAATTCATTGAAATTAAAGAAAATATACTGACTACATTTCATGTGTTCAGTAGCCACTGTATTGGCTACTTTATTGAGCAGTGCAGATACAGAATATTCCTATCATGACAAACAGTTTTATGATTTAGATAGATGTGTCATCCCATCTAGGCAAGAGATTTTATGCTCTGTTTTCCTTCATCAGACCTGTCTATATTTAAAGCAAATTCCCATTGTATTCTGAAGCTGAACTAAAGCTAAAAATTCTCAGATGACAACCTTGTAAAGGGTATTAATAGTTGAAGAATAAGCATTAAATAGTAAGACCTTTATTTTTTTAAATGAATTTTATTGCTGGCATTGTGGGTGTTTGATTTTGCTGGGATAAATTAATATAATTAAATAAAAGGCGGAATTCAATTGTGTAAGTTGTGTTTGACAGTAATTAACAAAAAGACCCAGATGGCTTATTGCTTAATTGGTTGAACAAAGCAAGAATGTGGTATTTCTTGCTTCCTTAACCATCCCCATGATTTATTACTTTATTACAGAAATGGTTGTCAACTTGGTCCCTGGCTGGTACTTACAGACCTTTAATTTAAACAAAACAGATGTCTCCATTTAGTTCTAAAAGAATTCAACCTTCTCATCTTAGTAAAACCCAAGTATTCAAATTCCCTCCTTTTCTATGGATTCAGCTTTAATTTCATATACAATTACAAACTTAAAACTAGAGAAATTTGGCAGTTGGAGTCCTGATTCCCATGAATTTGATCTTCATTGCCCATCTGACTTTTATGACTGGACTTTATTTTTTATTTTCTAAGATTGAATTTCATCATCACCAACTCAATGAAATCTCTCTGGGGAAAATGGAGAGAAATGTTCAGCCAGCAGTTGACGCTTCAACATTTGTTATGTTGTTTCACAACAGCAAAACAGATGACATCCCCAGAAAGGACCTGATCTATTTTCTCCTTTGTCCCATTGCTACAGATCACACTGGCCAATTCAGAATTCCATATGCATCAAAAAGTCATCCAGATACATGATGAGGGTACATCTCTGCACCAGAACGTAATGTCATTAGAAGTCATATTATTGTGCTCACCTTGTTGTTGTTGTTAAGTGCCCTCAAGTCTGACTTGATCCACAGCGCCCCTGTATAGGGTTTCCAAGGAGCGGTTGGTGAACTTGAACCACCAACCTTGCAGTTCAAACGGACCTTGCAGTGCAGTGCATTAGCTCATAATGCCACACCAGGACTCCTTAAGGGGGTTCTGTTTTCAAGTGAAAGCCATGGAAAAGGCAATTGGACACCAAGTTAGCAGTGACTTGTTGTTGTTGTTGTTAAGTGCCTTCGAGTCGGTACCGACCCATAGCGACCCTGTACAGGGTTTCCAAGGGTGTAAATCCTTACGGGAGTAGAAAGCCACATCTTTCTCCCGCGGAGCGAATGGTAGTTTCAAACCACTGACCTTAAGGTTCGCAGCTCGATTCGTAACCACTACGCTACCAGAGCTCCTGTTAGCAATGACTAGTGTCAAATATAAGGAGCTGTGGTAGTATAGTGGTTTCGAATCGGGCTGTGAACCTCAGGGTCTGCAGTTTGAAACTACCAACTGTCCCATGGGAGAAAGCTGAGGCTTTCTGCTCCCGTAAAGCTTTGCAGCCTTGGAAACTCTGTACAGGGTCGTGATGAGTTGGAACCAACTCCATGGCACATCACAATGACAACAAGTGTCAAATCTGAATAAAGACAGACTACATCAATGAGCTCTTTTAATTGACACAACTCTATATATTATGTAAACTATTTATACTTGTTCTTCAAATGCTTATTATTAGGTCAATTTATTTAGATCACTTTTGACCAGAACCCAAAGGCTACAAACCATGATTGATCAAGGACCTAGATTTAGGCATATTTCAAATGAATAGTTAAGGAAGTGACATTTCTAGGATACTAGAACGCTCTACTATTCCATATTAAAAACAATCCTTCTAACCTCCAAACACTTCACCAGTTTTAATCCCTTCTTCCATGACATGTGCTCTTTGGATAGGGAGGTGCATCCTTAGCATTATTTTAATACTGTGAAAGTCTTTGCTGGTGTGTTAATTATTTCCATAGAAGTTGTTGTTGTTAAGTGCCATCAAGTTGGTTCCAGCTCATAGTGACCCTGTTAAGGTTTCCGAGGAGCGGCTGGTGAGTTTGAACTGTCGGTGTGTGTTTATATTTTCCCATTACCAAAGGCTGTGTGAAATGCTATCACAATATAAACAGGTTTCCTGACTTTCTTTAACTTCAAACAAAAATAATCATGGTCACTTATACCTCTAGGGTGGAAGTTTGCAAGCTCAACTCTAACAGACCAGATTCATGTTTGAAAATTGCAGTTTCCCAACAATTCCTCAACTCTGAAGCTAACTCTTAGTCAACTGACTTTTCAGGACCAATGAAAGATGCAAAACCAGTAGAAAGAGAACAGGACTAGCGCTACTGAAGATTTGGCACATGAAAAGACTTCTAACTTTTTAGTAAAAAAATAGCCAAGGGAGTCGGTCATCTTTTGCTTGAGAGATCCTGACATAGTCAGTGCTAGCTACCTTCCTTAAGGCACAGGCCAAGGGTGGCATTGCTCAATGTTTTATTAAAATAGGATCCAGCAGTGCCTAAGCAGCTATCTTTTAACTCACAACCTACTCAGATGCCCCAATGTAGGGCTCTTTCAGAGAATGGAGAACTATCTGTTATATGGGATTTAGCTATTGGAATATCCAGCCAGCACAATTCTCCAACTTTAGGCTTATGGTTACAGTGGGAGCTGCCATCTTCTTCCAGTGACTGGTTCCAGGGAGGACATCGGACTGAGTTGAGCCAATCAGCATATTATTAAGACTAAGAAGTTGGTTTGTCTGTGAATGAGATAATGTAGAAATGTATGATTTCTCAGCAGCTTTGTTTTCTGTAAATGACCTTAGGAAGCAGATGAAGTCTAGAAAGACAGAGAGAGAGATGAAACAAACACAAATAGGTGCAGAGGCAAGAGACAGAGTATCGATCATATTCAAGTTGCTGATTCCAGTTTGTTTTCAAGGCCTTGTTATAGCTCTATCGTTTTATTTAATCTAGTGCTTCTCAGACTTTGCTGTGCTCCTGAGTCACTTGGGGAAGCCTGCTAAAATGCAGATGCAGATTTCAGTAGGTCTGGAGTGAGGCCTGAGATTCTGCATTCTCATTAGTTCCCAGATGATGCAGATGCTTCTGGTGTGTGCAATCATTTAAACTATTCCACACTGCACTTCTGTTACTGTGGGCTCAAAGAGTGTTCTTGGACCATTTTCCTTTGCTTGTCATGTGACTTGAATCCCCATGACAGGATAGTTTGATCCTCTATTTTATTGGACAATACATCTTGTTCAGTGTTAATACAACTGCTTTTAATTAATTCATTTTGCTCTCTTTCCTCAGCACTTTTCCTCTTTTTCTTTCTGGGCACTGGTTCTACTCCTTTGACAGGGGAGTTATTTACCTTTGTTGTTATTTTTACTGATTGCTTGGTGGTTACACTG